GCTGTGCACACCCGAGGGCCGCACCTCCTGGCCAGGTCAGGACCCTGAGCCCTGTCCCTGAGGCTGTGGCCTCGTTCTCGTTCCTGTCAAGCCGGTGCATTGAGCACAGCTGGCAGCAGTGATTCAGCCTGGCGTGGTGCACGTGTCCCTGGTGGGCACGGCCTGGCAGCCTCACCCTGCTGTGCTGGCACTGGGGTGTTCGTGACACATCCTGGAGGTGGAGTTGGGGACAGGCCCTTTTTAGGGCCTTCAGGGCATGGTGCCCTCCAGACGTTTGTGCTGACTCGGCCTCCCTTCCTCCCAGAGGCGCAGGCCACCTAGCACAACTAGATCTTAAAATCCTAACGAGTGCCTGGCGGCTTCCCACCTTGCCCTTGGCCTTCTCTGCCCTCAAAGGCCCTGAGCTGCCTTCCCTGCTCCTGCGTGTGGGGCGGGGGCAGGTGTGGCTCAGTCTCTCCCCACCCCCATCCCCCGCCTCCAGCGTCCCTGCCTGGGCTCCTTGCCTCCACTGAGTCCTCCTCCCAGGTTCCCACCGTGGCAGGGTGTTAGGCTGTCCTGTTAAGAGGGCCCTGGGTGTTGGGCATGAGCGTGCCAGGGGTGGGGTGGGGTGGGTGTGAGTGGCGCCCTCACCTGCCCTGTCCCCCCAGGAAGCAGGTCCTGGGGACCAAGCTGGACGCGGAGCGTGACGGTGTGAAGGTGCCCACCACGCTAGCCGAGTACTGCGTGAAGACCAAGGCGCCCGCGCCCGACGAGGGCTCAGACCTCTTCTACGATGACTACTACGAGGATGGTGACGGGGAGGAGGCAGATAGCTGCTTCGGGGACGACGAGGATGACTCTGGCAACGAGGGGTCCTGACAGCGCGCGCCCTGCCGAAATAAACTGACAGAGTTTTACCTCACTGGGACTGGACCGAATGGGCTTAGGTGGCAGACTCTACCTCACGGGAGGTGTTGTGTTGGTTCCCGCCCCTCTGGTTCTTTCAGTTTAGGTCTTTTTTCCTTCCCTGTATTTGTTCTGGGTTTTCCTCTGCTTCAGAGAAGAGGGGCTGCCTGCCTTGCTCGGGGACCCCGGGCTGGCTGTGGCCGCCGTCTCACCTCGGGAGGGCAGTGTGGCCCTGACTGCTGCTTGGACGACCTGACTCCGGGCACTGGCCAGAGCCCAGAGGAGCCACGTGGAGCCACAGATGGGAACGTGTGGGCGCCAGCTCCTCGCTGCCACTGAGGGCCTGGGGGCCAGGCAGCTCCATGGCCTGGAGCCAGAGACTTGGTGTGTTTCCCAGCTCACGAGTGGACGGATTAGCTGTGGCTGCCTCTTCTCTCTGCTTTGATTTGTTTGAAATCTAAATAAAACTACTTTATGAGAAGACAGAACCTCTCCTTGGGAGGGAGAGGCAGCCAGGAGGTCCACGTGTGACCAAGTGTTGCTGGTGCCCAGCCTTGGGGCAGGGTGGCCAGTGCGTTTGAGGAAGGGACCACATCCTCAGATCTGCGGGGTCTGAGCAGGAGGCAGCTGGTTTGCTTTGCACGTGTTGAGTGAACTGCGGCTGTGGACTAGTTCTTGTGGCCCGGGGTTCCTGGGGCGGAAATGACCCCTGGCCTCGGCTGCATGCCTATCCAGGCTGGGGTTGCCACAGCCCTGGGTGCACACGGTCTGTGGCCTTGTTTTGTGCAGCTGAAAGTCCAGGAATGGCTGGACTTCGGATCCTGGTGCCATCAGGACCAGGTTCCCCCCAGGATTCGGCTCTTCGCCTCCGGGCTTCCAAGGAAGCCCACACCCATCAGCCTGGAGGCCTCCAGTTGCCCACAGGCTGGTTGTTGTACACCAGGACCCGGCCGTCACGCGGCCACAAGACCTTGGGCTACATTTGGGTGGGGATGGGGTGGGGCGGGCAGTGCCGAGAGAGCCACATGCTCTCTTCCCAGGTCCTGGCTACACCGCAGCATCCAACATCCACTGCTGGCTTTTCCTACACGCAGAGGGCCCTGGCCCGGCCAGTCTCGCCTGGATGGCCACGTGCCCTCCGCTGCCTCCTTCCCCATTGCCAGCCACTCTGTGTCTCTCTGAATAAGGAGCTCAGTGACGTCCCAGCCCTCACAGCATCTGAGGGGTCCCAGGCCCCTGCATCCGGAGCCCTTCCAAGCGCTCAGCAGGCGTCAGCTCCCTCAGTCGCCGCGACAGCAGCAACAACTCAGCAGGCAGAGCAAGATTCAGGGTGCCCATGTCGTGTGTAAAGTTTGTCGGCACAGCCACACTGTTGCTTCACATGCTGTCCCAAGGGCAGAACTGAGCCGCTGCGACAGTGTTTGGCCCTTTGCAGAAGTTTGCCCACCCACCCGCTCTCCCTAGGGCCTCTTCTCCTTGTTCCCACAGCTGCCTCGTGGCTCCTGCAGGTCGGGAGCTAGTTGGGCCCAGTGGGGGCTTGTCTCACTCCGCTGGAGTGACCCAGACCCCGGGGTGCTGAAGTCACAGGAGGCGTTGGGCTCCTGGGCTGGGGACACTCCCAGACTGGGCTCCGCATGGCTGCTGGCCGGAGCACCCCCACGTGGCCTCCCCATGGCGCTTGGGCTTCTGGGTGTCGTGGGCTGGTCAGGCTCCAAGTGAGGGGCCAGGAGCTGGGCCATTTCCGACCAGCCTCAGGCCACACGGTTTCCACCCAGATTCAAGGAGGGGACGCAGGCCTCACCTCTCAAGTGGTGCCCCTGGAAGGGCCGGTGGCCAGGATGTAAAACCACCACTCTGGCCTCCCCCTCCCCTCAGACTATGCCCCACATGACTCCCAACGGACCTTTGGGACACAGAGCTGACTCCCCCATCCAGAGCCAGGCGGGAACCCTGGGACTTGCTAGCTGTGGGCAGGTGTCCTCGACTCAACGTCAGTGTTCCAAGCTGCAGAGGGCGGGCAATGACTATGGTTGGCTACTAAGTTGAATTTCAGATAGACAACAAATGACTTACTCTGCGTATTTCCTGTGCCGTATTTGGGACGCATAGTAAAAAACTGTTGTCTATCTGAAATTCAGATCTAACTGGGCACCCCATTTTTGGTTGCTAAATGTGGGCACCTCGATACTGATGGAACTGCCTGCTGGGGTGTTTAGGATTGAAGGAGGTGGAACACGAACACACTGTGGAGTTAGTGTCGCTTAAGCTCAGCCCTGGCCTCACCCTCTGAATGAAGACGAAACTTCGGAGTGTGACTGCAGGACGTGAGCCATCCTCTGAACGGGTGCAGCTTTCTCCAGAGCCCCCGGTGCACAGCGGGTGAGTTCGGCGCCTTTTGTGATGAGTTTTTCCAACCTTCTGTAATTTATGCAATTTACGTTGGACCCTTCCAACTGCAAGTGACAGGGCCCAATGCAAACCAGCATGAGCAAGCTGGAATTTTATTGCATTCCGTGACCGACAGGCCAGGGGAGGATTTCAGGCATAGCTGATCCAAGCACTGGCTCTGTCCAGACTCGGTCTCCCCACAGCTGTGGTCAACAGAATAACAGCTCCCTCAAAGATGTCCACAGCCTACTCCCGGGAATGTGTGAACAGGTTACCTTATTGGCAGAAGAGACTGTGCAGATGGGGTTGAGTTGAGGACCTATGAGACAGGAGGTCACCCTGGATGACCCGGGGACCCAGTGACAGCACAGGGTCCTCCCACGAGGGGGCGGGAGAGACTGGAAGACACTGTGCTGCTGGCTCTGAAGGGGGAGGAAGGGCCCCGAGCTAAGGAACGCAGGTGGCCGCTAGACGCTGGGAAAGGCAGGAGACGGGTCCTCCCCTGGAGCCCCCAGGAGGGACTGGCCCTGCCACACCTTGATTTTAGCCCAGTGAGGCTGGCCACCAACTTCTGACCTCCAGAACTGTGAGAGAGTAAGGTTAGGTCACCATATATGTAATACTTTGCTATAGCAGCAAGAGGAAGCTAACACACCATCCAGCTCCACTTTCTGTGTGGGCCTTATTCTCAGGTGGGCTCCTCTCTCCCTGGGAGCGCCCCCAGACTGACATCCTTCCGGCTCCAAGTCCAGTGGAGCGTGAGGACTTCTTTAGAAAAGTTTGGGAAATCTGAGCCTTGGTTTTCATGGAGCCAGCTCAAGTCGGGTCCTCTTCCACCCCAACCCTGCGATGGGCGTGGGGCACACTGGTCATGTGGCATGAGGAGGGGGTGGAGCCTGGGGAGAGCCCCCCAGAGCTTGTGGACACCTGCCCAGGGCAGACATCACCAGCCGATCACACTCCATGTACGGAGCCTGCCGAGACCCCCAAGTGCCCACAGCATCTTCACTCATGATAACCAAACACTAGAAACAGCCCAGTCACCCATCAGCTGAAGAATGGACAAATGTGGGCCATCCACACACGGAATATCACTCAGCCGTGAAAAGGGACGAGGCTGTAACACAGCCCAGCGTGAGGGACCTTGAGGACATCGTGCTCAGTGAGAGACGCCAGACACAGAAGGACACATCCTGTGTGACTCCACTCACAGGAGGTCCCTGGGGTCATCGGATCCACAGAGACAGGAAGTAGGATGGTGGGTGCCAGGGGCCGGGGAGAGGGAGGGGAGCGAGTGTTTTATGGGGACAGAGTGTTAGTTTAGAAAGATGAGAAAGTTCTAGAGACGGAAGGTGGTGATGGTTTCACAATCACATGCGTGTACTTAGTGCGGCTGAGCTGTGCACTTACAAATGGTTAAGACAGGGACTTTTATCTGTATTTTGTCACAATAAGAGAAAGGGGTAAAAAGACAATTACACTGAAACCACACGAAATATGTACAACACGAGGATCTGAACACTGCATATTAGGTGATAATTTTTGTTACATTTTCAGGTGTGATCATGGTCACGTGGTTTTATCTGAAGCGTTATCTTTCAGAACCACTTTTGAAAACGTGTGTGGGTGAGAAAGCCGTGGGGTGGAGCTGCGAGCTGCCTCCCCCACAGGAAGCACCGGCGGGGGTGGGCCGCGCTGCCCACCCTGTGCCTTGTGCCCGTGGTAGGATGGAGGCCCGCCAGTGCGCACTGCTAGCCCTGGCCCTCGGGACCCTGTGTGCAGGTGAGTGGGAGCTGGACCATGGGGGAAACTGAGGCCAGGAGCACTCGGGGGGTCCACAGATGCCAGCATCCTGGGTGTGAAAGCAGAAGATGGGGAAATAGGTGAGTTGTCATTTTGTCACTGTCGTGAGGGGCGACCCTGAGACCAGAGGGCATCCTGCCTGAGCTCCCCGGACGTCCCAGGACGTGGGGAAGACGCGGGCTGCCCGCCTGGGCTGTCTACCTGCTCTCTCATCCGTCCTCCCAGCAGGATGCGCTGGGAGTGGCAGGGCTGGGATGGGGACGTCCGGGATTCTGGGTGGGCTGGGTGAGAGTGGCTCCCGAGGGATCGGGGACCCGAGAAGATGGGCACACGTAGGGGCCCAGCCATGCCCCTCATCCTCCTGTCCATCTGCCCGGGTTTGCTGAGCCTGCAGTGCTCTAGGCCCGTTCTAAGCACGACAGGCCTGGGCCTGCCCTGGTGCTGCGGGCGGACTGTGTGGAGAGCCAACAGGGCGAGTCTGTGTGCGATGCCGCCTGGGGGCCGGATCAGGGGCAGTGCTGGGAAGAAAACGGAGCAGAGGAGGGGCAGAGGCTGTGAGAGGTGGTTGAACAGATTCTGAGTAGGAGGTCAGGCTCAGGAATGTCTAGGGGAAGGGCTCTGCAGCAGCCCGCAGCACATGTAAAGGCCCTGGGGCGGAGTGAGGAGAGGGAAGGAGGCCACCAGGCCATGTGCGCCTTGGAGGTTGTGGGGAGTCTGGATTTTTTTTTTTTTTTTTGAGACAGAGTCTCACTCTGTTGGCCTGAGTAGAGTGCCACAGTGTCAGCCTAGCTCACAGCAACCTCCACCTCCTGGGCTCAAGCGATCCTCCTGCCTTAGCCTCCCAAGTAGCTGGGACTACAGGCACCACCACACCGGGCTAATTTTTTCTATCTTTAGTAGAGATGAGGTCTTGCTCTTGTTCAGGCTGGTCTCAAACTCCTGACCTCAAGTGATCCTCCCACCTCAGCCTCCCAGAGTGCTGGGATTACAGGTGTGAGCCACCGCACCCAGCCCATGTTCCAGAACATTCTCGCCACCCAAAAGGAAGCCATCCCCATTGGCAGTCACTCCCCATCCTCCTCCCCAGCCCCTGGTGACCACGAATCCACGTCCCATCTCTGTGGATCTGCCTGTTCTGGACATTTCACATAAATGGAGTCACACTGTGTCCTTCTGTGTCTGGCGCCTCTCACTGAGCACAATGTCCTCAAGGTCCATCCACACCGTGGCCTGTGTTAGAGGCTCGTCCCTTTTCGTGGCTGAGTGATACTCCAGTGCGTGGATGGACCACACTTTGTTTATCCACTCGCGTGGATGGACGTCGGGTTTTTTCCACCCTTTGCTGATTATTGTGAGTCATGCCGCTGTGGACATCGGTGTGTGAGTCTCTGTGTGGAGATGTTTGCCTTGCTCTTGGGTGTGTACCAGAGTGGAATTCCCGCATCATACAGTGACTGTGGACTACATTTAACATTTGGGGAACCCCCGCAGTGGCTGTGCCCCCTTACACCCCCACCCACAGAGTGTGAGGGTCGGTTTCTTGGCTGATTTACATTTTAAACAACTCCCCTGGCTGCGGAGTAGAGTCTGGGCTGTGGTGCCCGGTGGGGCCTGGGGTGGGGGTGGGGGAGAGAGGAGGGAGGGTCATTTGCTGGGACCCAGGGTCAAGGGACAGCAGGGATCCAGGGAGACCCCACATGCCAACCTTAAAGTTTCAAGGAACACTGGGGACTTTATTAGGATGGCAAGTTGGGGTCCAGGGCCTCTGAGCTGCAGAAGGAAGACCATGGTGGGGGTGGGGGACACCCAGCCCTAACCAGGCTCTCTGTCCCCCTCCCCAGTAGGCAGCACATTTGGGGCCCAGATCATCGGGGGTAAGGAGGCTGCGCCCCACTCCCGCCCATACATGGCCTCACTGCAGAAAGACGGCTCCCACAAGTGCGGGGGCGTCCTCGTGCACCCACAGTGGGTGTTGACAGCTGCCCACTGCCTGAGCACGAGGTGAGTCACCCTGCCCTCCGTCACCCCAGGGGTCCCGAGAACCTATGGCATGGTTCCCACTCTCACCGGGGGCTGGGTTCTGCGGGATTTACTGCGGCCATGGGGGCCACTTGCCCCTCACTGATGACCGTGGGGATCCCTGGGGAAGGTTTACCTTCTGCAAGAGACACAGGAAGGGCTGGCTCCTTCTAAGGGGAACCAAGTGGGGCCGCTGTGACATTTAGGGATGCGTTTGCCACCTGTGGCTATGAGGATACAGCTGGCCTCCCAGGGCAACAGCCAACACAAACCTGGCCCCTTCGAGAAGCCACTGATAAGCCCATCCTGGAGCTGCCCTACCTCTGGACTGGCAGCAGGAGAGACCCCAGAGCAGACTGGTCGAAGTAACCAAGGGCATCCGTCGGCTCATGTAACTGAAGGGATCTCGCTTCGGGTGTGGCTCGATCCAGGCGCGCACGTGAAGAGCCCGGGAGCCCACCTGTCTCCTGGCTGTGCCGCCTTCCTGTTGGCCGAGTTCTTTCATCATCAGGAAGGCTCCCTCGTGGTGGCAAGGGCGGACCTCTCAGGCCTGCCTGAGAGGGCTTGGTGCTCTGTTGTCTGGGCAAGGTTAGGAGGGCTGGCGCGTGCCGACCTCTGGACAAATCGCCGTAGTTGAGGGAATCGCTGGTCCTGGCCTGGGGGTCAGCATGTGCGGACACAGCCCTGGGGCAGAAGTCTGGGGCAGGGGCAAGCGAGCAGAGAGGGCTTCCTGGGGGGCGTTGGGAAGACACAGGGAAGGACAGACCGTGCCTGACCCCCCGCTGCCCGCAGGCCAGAGCTGCTGAGGCTGAGGCTGGTGCTGGGGCTGCACACCCTGGGCCACCCCAGCCTCGCCTTCCGCATCCGAGCGGCCGTGCGGCACCCCAACTACAGGCCTGTGCCAGCCCTGGAGAACGACCTCGCACTGCTTCAGGTGCTGGTGGGGAGAGTGATGGGGGGACCGAGAGCCTCACCCCCACTGCCCCTCCCCCTCGCTGACTGCCCCTCCCAGCCCCCCTTCAGCAGCCCCCTCACTAGCCCTCCCTGTGCCTTGTAGCTGGACAGGAAAGTGAAGCCCAGCAAGACCGTCCAGCCCCTGCGCTTGCCCAGAAGTCGCCAGGTGGTGGCAGCAGGAGCTCGGTGCAGCGTGGCCGGCTGGGGGGTGACCCACCAGGGTGGGAAGCTGGCCCGGGCACTGCAGGAGCTGGACGTCCGAGTGCTAGACTCCAGGATGTGCAACAACAGTCGATTCTGGCATGGTAGCCTCACCCCCTACATGGTCTGCCTGGCTGCAGACAGGAACAAAGCCCCCTGCAAGGTGAAGGGGCGAGGGGACGGGGAGGCACAGGGCCTGGTGGGAGGACCCGGCTGTCCACTTCTAACAGCCCACAGCCACGGTGGGGAGTCCCAAAGGGTGGTACTAGCATTAGCCTCATTTCTCAGATGCAGCAACTGCAGCACAAAGAGGTTAAGCACCTTGCCCGAGGCCACACAGGAAGTGGCAGAGCTGTGGTTCAGACTCTAGCAAAGTTGACGTGGCATAGAGTAGGGCTTGTGCAAAGGCCCTGGGGTGGGGAGGAAGAGCAGAGAGCGTTTAAAGAGCAGGAAGGGAGCAGGGATGGGGAGGGTGTGGCTGGGAGGGGCCCCAGTGTCTCGACGAGCCCCAAGGGTGACAGGCTGGGCTGGGGGCTGCCCCTCCAGGGGGTGCAGAGGCTGACCTGCAGGTTACCCTGTAGGGTGACTCTGGCGGGCCCCTGGTGTGCAGCAAAGGCTGGGTGGCTGGAATCCTGTCCTTCAGCTTCAAGGTCTGCACCGATGTCTTCAAGCCCACTGTGGCCACCACTGTGACACCCTACGTGTCCTGGATCAAGAAGGTCATCCACTCCCACTGGCAGTCTCCGCCTCCAGCCTGATGCGCCACTGGGTGGGACCTGCCCCCTCCCAACGCAGCTGGGCAGGACCTGCCCTCCAGGGTTCCCGGGAGGGTCAAGGGAGGGAGCAGGAGGGGACTGGGTGTGTCTTGGAGGACCAATAAATCCTGATGGAGAAACCGCTGAGCTACTGGTCTCTGAGCCTGCCTCTGCCCATGCTGGCCTCAGTTTCCCCCCTTATAAAATAGAGGTTGCACCTCCCAACACTTCTCCCAGGAGGGGCTCCAGGGCCAGGGGAGCCGGGGTGTCAGCGGGGGCGGCATTGGCGGCCGGCAGGGGGCGTGCGGGGCGTCTTCCTACTCTGCGAGCGCCAGCATGTTCCACTGCGCACCAGCCGGGGGCAGACACTGAACACGAGCCCCGGAATCATCATCTTCTTCAGTAACGCCTTTACTGAGGTATCATCCGCACTGCATGCAGTTCAGCCATTTAAAGTGTGCAGTTCAGACCTGGGAGGCCGAGGCAGGAAGATCCTTCAGCCCAGGAGTTGGAGGCTGCAGTGAGCTGTGATGACGCCACTGTACTGCAGCCTGGGTGACAGAGCGAGACCGTGTCTCAAAAAGTAAATAAATAAATTAAAATGTGCAGTTCACTGGGCTTTCGTACTTTCACAGAGCTGTGCAACCATCGCCACAGTCAATTTTAGAACATTCTCATCACCCCGAAAGGAAGCCCCGTCCCTATTAGAAGTCACCCCTCATCCCTCCCCCCGCCCCTGATACCCACGCATCCACGTCCCGTCTCTGTGGATCTGCCTGTTCTGGACACTTCACATAAACGGAGTCTCACACTGTGTCCTTCTTTATCTGGCGTCTCTCACTGAGCACGATGTCCTTAAGGTCCCTCCACGCTGTGGCCTGTGTCAGAGCCTCGTCCCTTTTCACAGCCGAGTGATGTTCCACGTGTGGATGGACCAACCCGGGTGTGTCCATCCATCTGTCTGTGATGGACTCTCGGGCTGTGTACACATCGTGTCTATGATGAGTTGTGCTGCTGTGTGGACGTGTGTTTTCCTTCCCCTTGGTTGCAGACCTGGGAGTGCAGTTGCTGGGTTGCCTGGTACCTCTATGCTTTTCATTTTTTGTTTTTAATTTTTTTTGTAGACACAGGGTCTCACTATGTTGCCCAGGATGGTCTTGAACTGCTGGCCGCAAACGATCCTCCCCCTCAGCTTCCCGCAGTGCTGGGATTAGGTGGCCTTGGATTTGTGTAGCGTTCCCATTCTCTTTCTCTCTCTCTCTCTCTCTCTCTCTCTCTCTCTTTCTGACACACAGCGAAATGCACAAATCAAAGCGCGTGCCTTGCTGTGTTCCAACACGTGCAGACACGTGTGCAACCCAAGCCCCTGCCAAGGTCTCCGGCGTGACAGTCGACCCAGGAGACTCCCTCAAGCCCCGCCACAATTGCATCCAAAGTCAGTTTTTTGCACAGTTCTACTGCACACAACAAAGAAGTTAAAGGGACGAAAGGTCGCCCAAGGGGAAGAATGTTCCTGCCTCACCCTAGGAAGCGATCCTCCCTCCTCAGCCTCCTCAAGTGCTGGGATTGCAGGCGTGAGCCACCGCGCCCAGCCATAGTCAAAATTTATTGTAGCACACTGATATTTATTGTAGGATGCTGATATTTTTCTCATGACTGGTTGGGGGTGATAGGTTTTTGGGAGGGGCGGGTGCCTTTTTAATCTTTAACTTTTTATGGGGGCATCAGCTGCAGACAGAACATTCCCAGGTCACCAGGGAACGGCCTGACCACTTGTCACAGGCAGCGCTCAGCCCTGTCACCAGCGTCAAGTCAAGAGACAGGACAGGTGCACACCCCGAGGCCCCCTCTGCAGGTGCCCACCCCATGTCCCCTCTCCTGCAGGGGTCTCGCCCGAGGGGACGCTGTGCAATGTCTGGGCACCTCTGTGATTGTCACCAGTGGGGGTGACCTCCCCTGGCATAGGGTGGGTGGAGGCGGGGAGGCTGCTCAGCACCCTGCAGGGCCCAGGGCGGCCGCTGCCCAGAGAACCACCTGGCCCCAACTGTCAATAGCGCCCAGGGGGAGACCCTGCGGTAGAGGACATTCTGCTAGTTTCTGAAGGTTTGAGGCTCTTACAAAGGCCTGAGCTGGGCCCTCGGAGCTGACCGGCATTTCCCAAGCCCACTCCCGCGGGCGGAGGACGAGAGCCCGGCCCCACAGGCACAGACACCCCCGTTGTTCCCCAACGTTTCAGCGTCTGCATTTTCAAACATGCAGAAAAGTCAGGGATTGTACAGAAAACAACTGCGTGTCCCGCCTCTGGGTCCATAAGTGTCCATATGTGACATGTGCCCGATCCGTCGTGTGTATCTATAATGTTGAGACTGAAGCACTCGAGAGTAAGTTGTGGATTCTTCACCCTCCGCTACTGGCTGAGCTTCCCAGGAAGGCGGTCACCCCTGCATCGCCCGCGGTGGCTTCCCTACGTGCCTGCACCTGGAACCCAACTCTAATTTCCCGGGCACTTTTCTGCTTTCAGTCTCTTAAAAATTGTGGTGAAATTCACATACCATTCAATTTATCGATTTAAAATGAACAGTTCAGTGTTATTTAATGCGTTCACGACATTGTGCAACCACCACCTCTAATTCCAGAACGTTCCATCACCCCAAAAGGAAGCCCCGTCCCCATCAGCGGTCTCTCCCCACCCCCTCCCCAAGCCCTGGTGACCACAAATCCACATCCCATCTCTGTGGCTCTGCCTGTTCTGGACATTTCATATAAACGGAGTCTCACGCTGTGTGTCCTTCTGTGTCTGGTGTCTCTCACTGAGCATGACGTCCTCAAGGTTCATCCACACTGTGGCCTGTGTCACGACAGCCAAGTCAACCTCAGTGTCCAAGGACAGATGAATAGATAAAGAAACCACGGCATATACACACAATGGAATACTACTCAGCCATAAAAAAGAAATCCTGTGGTTCGCAGCAAGGTGGATGGGACCAGAGCACATTGTGTTAAGTGAAACAAGCTAGAACAGGAAGTTAAACCTCCCCAAGCTCTTACTCATGTGTGGAAGTTTAAAAAGGTTGATCTCATAGAAGTGAAAAGTAGAACAGAGGCTACTAGAGGCTGGGGAGGGTGGGGTAAAGAGAAGGATGGGGAGAGATTTGTTACATGATTCAAGATTACAGCCAGATACCAGCTTTTGATTTAAAGTGAGAAAAAAAAGAAGAAGAAAAAAGACTACAGCCAGACAGGAGTAAGTTCTATTGTTCTACCACTGTAGGATGACTATAGCTAACACATAATAATATTTTAGTTTCAAATAGCTGGAAGGAGGATACTGAATGTTCCCAACACAAAGAAATGATAACTGTTTGAGATGACGGAATGTCAAACACCTTGATACGATCACTTCATCTTATATGTATCAAAACATCACCACATGCCCCGTGAATATGGACAGTTATTGTGTGTGAATTACAAAAAGAGGCTCAGCACACTGTCTCATGCCTGTAATCCCAGAGCTTTGGGAGGCCAAGGTGGGAGGATCACTTGAGGCCAGGAGTTTGAGGCCAGCTTGGGCAACATAGCAAGACCCCATCTCTAAAAAAAAAATTTGAAATGTATGGCTAGGCCAAGTGGCTCATGCCTGTAATCCCAGTACTTTTGGAGGCTGAGGTGGGTGGATCGATTGAGGTCAGGAGCTCAAGACCAGCCTGAGCAACACACTGACACCCCATCTCTATTAAAAATAGAAAAATTTGGCCGGGCGTGGTGGCTCACGCCTGTAATCCTAGCACTCTGGGAGGCCAAGGTGGGCGGATTGTTTGAGCTCAGGAGTTCGAGACCAGCCTGAGCAAGAGCGAGACCCCGTCTCTACTAAAAATAGAAAGAAATTAATTGGACAACTAAAAATATATAGAAAAAATTAGCCGGGCATGGTGGCGCATGCCTGTAGTCCCAGCTACTCGGGAGGCTGAGGCAGGAGGATCGCTTGAGCCCAGGAGTTGGAGGCTGTACTGAGCTGTGATGATGCCACTGCACTCCAGCCTGGGTGACAGTGCGAGACCCCCTCTGAAAGGAAGGAAGGAAGGAAGTAAGGGAGGAAGGGAGAAAGGGGAAAAAAGTCTCCCAGGAAAGAAAAATTGGAGCAGCCGTCTTCCTGGTACAGATGTTTTGCTAACGTAGATTTACTTTATAGATGTGCATTTCTTTTCCAAAAGGACATCTTTTCGGAGCTAGTCCTGTGTCCGCAGTTTCTCAGAATAATCAGCCTGAAATACGCCAAGCAGTACATTCTGGGGAGGCACATTCTGGTCATATCTTGGGGTGCTGCGTCCCAACCCCCACCGTAGAGAGGGGAATTGTGTTTATCCCTCACCCTGCAGGGACGCTGGGGCTGTTTCCGTCCCCGCCTGCTGCGCACTGCAGCCCTTTGTGTTGCTTCCTGAGGGAGGGAGCTCCCCTCACCACATCCCAGCCACAGCCGCCGGGGCTTCAAAGGAGCTGTGGTTTTTGTTGCTCTTTGAGTTTTTGTTGTTCTTTGACATCCTCAAGGGAGACCTTGATTCAGAGGCGGGGAGTCTGGGAGGAGGGGGTCAGAGGTGGCTCCGCCCCCTCCACAGGGTCCTGGGGTGGCTCCAGCTGGCCCAGATCAGGGAGGCCAGGCCTGCAGGGTGGAGCCGCGCTGGGGAGGAAGCTTATCTCCAGGCCACAGACTCTCCTTTGGGATCTCCACGCCCTGGCGTAAAAGGGGGACAACTGCAGGAGACCGAGCAGACTGTGCTCTGGTCCCTGGACAGGGACGATGACACTGGATGAGGTGTCCCCCGTGTCCAGAGCCCCGTGACAAATGACCACGAACTGGCAGTCCTGGAGGCCAGAAGTCTGAGATGCATGTGGGTGGGCAGGGCTGCTCCAGGGGAGGGTCCCGCCTGCCCCTCCCAGCTCCTGGGGGCTCCGGGCGTCCTTGGCCTGTAGCCCCGAAGCTCCAGCCTCTGCCTCCATCTCCACAC